TTAACTTTACTCCGATAAGTCAACGATTTTTCTCTAAAAAGATAACAGACCTTTGTGATTGCGGGCAATGTGAAACAAAAGTGTTAGTTTAGGGTACAATGTAGGAAATATGGTAATTGAGGGGGTAATATAAAAAATGAGTGATAGTTTAGATAGTGTAATTTACCCGAAAAAATTGTTGAAGAGTCATTGATGTCTTGAATAATCACATTTTTTAGCCGACTAAATTTTTGTTAGGTTCTGTAAAACCTGAGTAAATTTAAATTTTTTTCAAAAAAAGGGCAAAACGGTAACTTATCACTATAATGCAGAATTAAAATGTGTATTTCTATAAAGCTCGGGTGATGCAACAGACTTCACCATTGGATTCGTTTCACAAAATTGAGTTGCTCAATCAATTTTCATCAAATTTCGAGATATTTGAATTTTTCACGTTTTACGAGACAACTGTGTGTTGGATGACCTTACAAACATCCCCAAAAATAAATTTTATAAAATTTTCTTATAATTTAAAAAAAATTCAAATAAAAATAATTTAAACTTAAATCGGGATGAAATTAAGTAATTTCGGAAAAAAAAGGGACCCGAAAATAAGAAAAGTGCGGTGCAACATGGACCGCACAATTAAAGGGTATAAATAGGGAGAAATATCTTATTTTATCCTTATTTTCATCAAACTTCACATGTTAGAAGAGAAAGAGAGAGGAGAGGAAAGAAAAATAAAAGCTCCATATTCTCTCTTCGATTCAAGGAGTTCTGTTGGTTGGAATTCGTCGAGCCAAGGGTTAAACTCGATCACCGTGACGAGGGTTATGCAGCCATACCGAGAACAAAGGATTTCACTGAAGATCCAAAGGGAGATGTTGGGAAAATCAAGGTTTTGGGGGCTTGAGAGGTATTCTTAGGCTTGGGAGGTCTTCTTGAAGATTCTATTCTCCATTTTACGCTTCAAGAGGTAGGATTTCCTCTTACTTTGACTTATTTCTAACCTAGGATGTCCATATGAAATGGGTAGGTGTATTAGCTATATATGTCACTTACCTATTGTTATGGAAATGAGAATGAAAATGACTTAAGCCAATTTCTAGTTTAAATTTGGTGTAGAGGGATTACTTGTGTAATTTCTTGGAACTTGTTGTTGTATGGGCAATTTTGTGTGATAACATGATTTGATGCATTGAAGGTGTTTTACAACATTCATGTCATAACAACTTATATCGTGCCTTGTGAGAATTAAGTTGTTATGACATGAATGTTGTATAACATGCTTGTGATATTGTTGTTGATATATACTTAGTGATATATTAACGGTGTGATAAATTTTGGTGATTACATGCATATGATGTAAATTGCCATGGAATATGTTGGTATGCGATTAAATTGCCCATTTGATATTTATTGCATTTTGAGCATGAAGTTAGCATCACATTCATGAACATTTATGCATGAGTGTGGGTGTGTAAGTACATGGTTTAATCAAACACCACACTTGGTGGTTGATGTATGGATTCGAAAACGTTGGATTGAATATCCGACTAAATCGCACATTACATAAAAAACTTGTGTCGGGTACAGAAAGAAGGGTTAGACACGTCCTCGGGTGCAAGACGCGGCTACTTGGTTCATACACTCCCCTGAGGGGCAATTCTGAAAAAGGGTAACGGTGTGCGGAACAGGCGGTGAGACTCCGAGAATCCGAATACCCAAATAAAGACATATGAATTTGTTTATAAAATAGTCATTCGGTGTAAAACATCAAAGACGAGGGTTTGGAATGCCCTGGATTTTTCATACATGTAGTATTGCATAGTGTAAAGGGAGCCGAAAAGGCTCGGGGTATATTGCATGAGTGAGTCTCATCTCATTTCATGGCATGACGTGGTAGAATTCCAACATGGAATTGCATATACTAAATTGGAATGGATGATACTAGTTGATTGTACATATCTAGGTTGGGGAAGTAGCCTCTGTAGGAGATACTCTATTGAACGTAACTCACCCTATACAGGAAAATATTTCAGGTGGAGGATATGCTCCGGCGGATGGCTCTCATTCGGGGCCCTGGTGATGAAAAAAGGTCGACTTGTGGCCTTGGATTCGTTTTTTTTTGTAAAATTATTGTGAAAACTTAGTTTTGGTATGTAAATGAATGTAGTAGAACTTGTATGGATCATGTGAAATGTGAAAAACTTTATTAAACATGTATGGGATGGTGGTGGAATGGTTTGAAATGAGAAGCAGGTGGAATAGGTAAAAGTCGGCAAAGCATATCGGTGTGGCGTACCGGTATGACGAGGTCCAGTGGACTACCCGTACCGGTATGGATTTTTTCATAGGGTTACCCATACCCGTATGGCTCTTCCAGTGGACAACTCGTACCGGTATGGCTTTTCTAGTGGGCAACTCATACCAGTGTGACTTTTTCAGTAAGCAACTCGTACCGGTATGGTCTACCAGTACACTTTCCAAAAATTTGAAATTTTAAAATTACTTTACCAAGCCTTTGGGCTATGAATTATTTGATTCTAATGATATAAATGGACATAAAATAAAAATAAATTGTGATATATTGAACCTTGTTTGGTCAAATGATATAATGTATACGGGTTACACGTGTGCATGGTGATCCCGGTTAAAGGGATACAAATGACGTGATGTCGGGATGTGCAACAATCACAGATACTTCCGCAAGTTGAAGGGTGGTCAACTGGTTGATAAATGACCCCTGATTTTAGGGGCGTCACAGGTTCGGTCTTCTTAATTACTGAATGTTTTGATCTCTCTTCTTCCATACAATGAAAAAGGAATAGCTTATTGCCCACACCAACATTAAAAATTAACTAGAAGCTTTCCTTGTGATGGTTTTATACAGATCAAAAGTGGTTTTTGATGACAACTACATTACCGTGAGAGGCGGTTGTTTGGTGGAAAACTTAGTAACCAAACAAACAAAAAGTGTGGTTTTCTGACTTAGCCCACAAAAGGCCAAACGGTATGGTGTTTGATAATCTTAAAGAAATTCTCCTAATTCTTTTGTTGGTCATTCAATTGCTTGGGGGCATTTTAGAAGGATCTAACTATTATGAACTCCAATAATGACATCAATGTATTGCAGTCAAATGCACATAGTGATCAAAGCCATCCCATAAATCCTTAATTGGGTGCCAGGAGGTAAAAAAATAGGTCACTCTCATTATTTCTGAAACCACTAAAGTAAACTGAATTCAAAATCCTTATACACTGTTAATCCAATAATGATAAATTACTTCATAAAACCAATAATTGTACTACCTAGTGATATTTCGTCCGATGAATGTGAAGGGTCGATGATAATGGTATTTCCTTCTCTACAACATAATTATATTCTATATTTGTTATATCTTTCATGTAGGGTAACGGAAAAAAAAAGTGTGATATTACTCGGGGCCAAAGAGTCATTATACAGTACTTTATGAGGCAAAATGTCATCAAAGCATATTGGTATTTATGAGAAAGATGGAAAAAAAAATCGAAAACTGGGAACCCCCATGGTAAATCCTACATTGCTATAGGACATGATTTCTACAAGAAAATTCCTCCCACAAAATTCAATTCCAAGATAAAATATAATTCCAAACATTTCTCCAGCTTAAATCAAACCACGCAGATCATCAAATGATGTTTAAGAATCAACATTCACTTTTTTTTTTCTTTTTTGGTAAGAAACAGGAATTCGTTCACTATCAGTACCAATTATTGAATATTTGTAGTTATAGTAGGAAAATAGACAATGTTTTTGAAACAAACAAAATTCTTGAAGCCTGCTTTGATCCTACAAATGAAGATGTCGGTAGAGAAGCATGGATGAAATAAATAAAAGAAAATTATTATAATAACGGCATCTAGAAGTTAGTCAAAATAGAACACTACAGTTGAAAACAATGCACAGCTCCTACAATTTATAATGTACCTCCCAATAATTTGTCTTCTTCAAAACCGAAAAAGAAGAAAAAAAAAGCAACAAATGGTTACTTACAAACTTAATTCTCAAATGTGAACAGTCAGTTTTCTTTCTTTCTCGCTTTCTCTCTCTCAAATGAATTCTTTACGGTCTGCCTGTAAACAATTGTTTACAGGCTGTCAATTAAAGTGTAAAACCTACACAAACACACACATCAATGTTAAAAATTTATAATAAGTTAATGTAAAAGAATTTATTCTCCTATCTCTCTCTCATTTTGTCTTTGCGCTTTTGCTTCTACATGAGGGAAATGAGCTGTGCAACAAAAAGCAAAAGAGGGAAGAGAAATTGTTAGGAATTGAGAATGAGTTAGACAAACTCAAGAGGATCCACAAATTTGCACCTCGACTCAAACGATAACATTATTATACAATATCGATTGCTATTTTCCTTAACATACCCATCTCACCAGCCTAATAATTTTCCATTAATTATTCAGTGTATTACAATTTCAACTGTGACAGATACAACAAATAAAATTACAATAATAATCAGGACACCTTTATTATACTTTCACATTACGTTAAAATGGAAAGAAGATGCTCATTATTTCAAATTGCTCAAAATACCAACTACAATCAAATGAAAGAGACCATAAAAAAAAAGTAAAATTCAAAAATAAAAACCTAGGGTTCATAGGTAGGAATTATGATTACACATGCGACATAACTGGCCAGTGAAAAGACAATAAGTCTCTTAAGCACCCCTACTGCACTATGCAATAAAGAGTAATTTTGGCTTTTCACTGCCACCAGAAGAATTTCACCATTTTCATGTCAAGAACAACAATCCAAATCTTATAAAATACATTCAATCATCTGTTTGTTAGAAAAACCCTCAAGGAAGAGAACACAAACCATATACCGGAGTGGGAAAAAAAAAGAGTAAAAGAGATCATCGGAGAGAAAGAGTTACCTGGAACGAATAATGGTTAAAAGAATAATCCTATAGGGCATGAAAGCTGAAAATGGGTATTAACAGGACGGACCAACGCTCCTACCCTCCTCGCTTCCATCCCTCTGTTGCTGTTGTCTTGCCTGTGGTTGCTGAAGCAAAAGCTCTGGCTGAATCTGAAGCAGATGGGGATGAGAACGCTCTTGTGTCTCTTGCTGAATCTGATGATAAGGATTGTCGTATGAACCCAAAGCCAACACCGGCGACATCCCCGTAGCAGTCATCTGATTAAACCCAGTTGCGGTCACAGGTCCGGCTGTGTCGAACCCACCATTGAACGTCACAAGGTCATGTTGCTGTGGTGGTTGTTCTTGTTGCTGCTGCTGCTCATAAGCCCTCGTCATGTCCTGTTGTTCTCTGGCCGCCACCACCGCCGCTAGCTGCTGAGCCTCCAGCATTTGTTGCTGGTGGTGCTGCGGCTGAGGCTCACGGATCATCAACTGAGTCCCGTGCGATGGACCAGCCTGTAACCCCAACATCGGTTGTATATTATAGGGCATCACCGAAGTCACCGGATTGTTGGGATGTTGTTGAATAAACCCAGGATGTTGGAGGATTGGCAACATCGCCGACGGGCCAATATAATTAGCCAATTCTTTCTTAGCATTGTACAAATCGTGTTGGACTTGCTTGAGACGGTGTTGAAGGATCGAGATGAGTCCTACGCAGCCATAAACTGGGTCTCGGAGGCGAGCTTCGGCTTCGTATGCAAGGGAATTCACAGCGTCTTCGCGTTGGGCGGCGTTGACTTCGTTTAAGAGTTTTGCGACGTTACTTGCGCCGAAGACCTTGTGGACATTAGCGAATTTCTGAGGCTGGTCCGGTGGGAAATAGGGAGCAAATACACACTCTTGGGTGCACTTTCGCCGGAGGAACTTGCAAGCCGCACATGGAGAGTTAGATGATGACATTTTCTTTAGATCTGGCCAAATTCTAGAAACATAAACAACCTTGTATTTACGATAAATAAACTTACACGAAATTCTGCATCGGAGGACTTTCGCTGAAACTCTAAAATAATTAAAATTTAATTAGCTAAAGACAAAAATTATTGTATAAAGTAGATGTATAGAATAGTAAATTATAATTTTGCCATATCATGTATAAATGATTTATAATATATTTTCTCTTCTTCTCTTTTTTCATCTCTTTTATCCACTCTTTTGGTGGACATAGTATGAGTGAATTAAATATTAAATTGTACTGTTATTTATTTAATCGGTCTAATACTTTATTTGATATACAAATTTGATTTCATATTAATTTTAAAAATGTATATTAACTATATACTTATAGAGGTATTTTAATAACACCAGAAGAATTTACTACTATAATTTCACAACTGATAAAATTAAGCTATCATCAAGGTAACAACACTGATTAAAAATATTTTTGTTAATTCAATATTAATACGATAAAATAGTTCCTTAACCAAACAACAATTTAGACTGAATAATTATTATTCAATGCTTATGTTGTGTATTGTCAAATATTAGATAAAATTATGTATTATTTTAATATCTCATTTAATCTTGTTTTTTGTCTATATATATTGTATTAGACTTTATTCTTAGAGAATTTGGAAGTTGGTTCCCCTATATGAACTTATTTGGACTTAAATCCATCAAGAAAACTTATTTGTTATTAAGTCCGTTTTTTTATCAATTTTACTATACTATCCATTCCCTTAGAAGTGAAATAAAACTAAAAATTAAAAACTCCTAAATCTTAGGAATTTGACTAATATTAAAATATTTTATCCCTCATATCTATCTATATCCATATATAGGTTAAGAGTTTGACTAACATTAAAAATTTCTCTTATATATATATATATATATATATATATATATATATATATATATATATATAATATATATATATATATATATATATATATATATATTAAAAATAAAAAATAGTAACATTTAAATACAATAAAATGTTATCATTTTAACACAAAAAATAATACATTTAAACACAAAAAAATAGTAACATTTAAACATAAAAAAATTGAAATATTCAATATTAATATTTTTAAAAAATAACAACAGTAACTTGTTCAACAAAAATAATAAAATGCTTAACAAAAACTGTACCATACTTAACAATAATTATTTCTCTCAAGTTCAATGCAAAAAATAGTAATATTCAAATAAAAAAAATAGTAACATTGAATATTAATATTAATGAAAATAATAGTAGTAACATGGTTAACAAAAATAATAACATGCTCAAAAATAATAGTATATAAACAATAACATACTCAACAAAAGTAGTAACATGAACTGTAGCATAATAAAAAAAATAGTAACATAAATTTGAATTTTACTATTCAAATTCATATTAATTTTTTTTTTTTTGTATTTGAAAGGTACTATTTTTTTTAATTATACTATATATATACCTAACCTATATATGAATATAGATAGATAAGAGAGGGAAAAAATTTTAATGTTAGTCAAATTCTTAACCTATATATAAATATAGATAGATATAAAGAGAAAAAATTAATTTCCTTTCAAAAAATGGTATTTTTGAGATTAAAAAAAAATAGATTTAAGTCATTACATATAATTTTAAACATGGACTTAACCTCTTATAAGTTTCTTTGCAAGACTTATTTCCAAACAAGTACATGTAGGGGGACTCACTTCCAATTTTTACTTTATTCTTTTATTTAATTTATCCATTTTTAATACGATAACCAAACGGACCCTCATTGTCTTTCCCTCCATTTTGTCTCTCTCCATCTCTAATAGTTCCAACAAAAGTATAAAACATGAAAAATAATATTTAAAAGTAGTTAAAATATAAAAAATTTGTTGAAATGTATATTGAAAAATTGAGTAGTTAAAAAAAAGTACTTTTTAATAACTAAAATACAAAATCTTATTGAAGATGCTCTTATAAGACAACAAATTCAAGTCTATAAAGTATAAACCGTGTACATTGGGGGAGGGGGGAGAAAGAGAGAGAGAAAGGTGTTTCATATAATATAAGCTGCTATAATGGAGGTTTGCTAATATCCATGCCTATAAATATGATGATCCACCGTGTTTAATGTAAACTCTCACATTCTTATTTTTATATAACAATGTAATTATGTTTTGAAATGCTAATATATGTGACGATGTATGCATGAACTATGTGGATTGTAAAAGTAGAAATAAAAATATTAGTTGAGGTAATAGGGTATGAATTGGAAGTTAGGAAGTATTCCGGAGTTCAAACACATTTTAGATAAAATTTGGGTAGAAAAAATTTTGAACACTGCCTAGTATTTGGACCATAACTTTTTACCCTAATATACAGTAGATAGTAGACTTCTAGGGGTACAAAAATATATTTCACAATTTTTCAAATCGATCTATAAATAGGCCAAAACTTCATTGAAATTTTAGCAGAAACAGGAAGTCTGTTTGAACGACCTACGTTTGAATGTGAAAGTACGTTTCGAACGACATTGTGTTCCAGTACTTTTGTCTGATGGAAAAAAAAAAGTATTGGGAGCAAATGACATTTGAACGTGAGTTACGAAATATGAGTTACAAAATTGTGCATATGAGACCATTTCTTCTACTATAAATACTTAAAGACACCTTCATTAGCCTCATTTCAACATTTATAACCCTAGAGAGACTTAAAGAGAAAGAAATAAGGGAAAAAACACAAGATCAAGAGCGATTTGCACATTGAAGAGAATTAAAATTTCTAGTTTTTCAAGAACACCAAGGAAGATGAAAGGTAGATGTTTCTTTCCACTCTTATCTATTGAGGCTAGAGTTTATATTTATGTATGTTTTGCTTCAAAATCTTATATATATGTTATGATATCCTTGTTTCTTGATGTTCTTATAGACCTTCTCATGTTTTGAGTGAAGTTATGAGTTGAAAGTCATAAAAATCCTTGTTTTGATATAAATACCTAGTTTTTTCAAGAGATATTGATTTTTCTCTTGATTTTTCCTTTATTCTTGATTTAAAAACTCTAGTGTTTGGTATTGAACAAAAAAATGGCATTTTTTTATGATCTTTTGCATATTTTCTTAAATTTTTCTATTGGAATAATACATGTGAAATTTGAGAATTTTGGATTTTACTTAGGATTAGAGAAATTAGTTGGGTATTGTATCTCTTGTGGATGTTTGGATGACCATAGGTGACCGTTAACCGGATATCGTAGAGTGGGTAAATGTATTTCTTACTCTGTGTGAGTTTGAATTTTTTCTACCACTAGTATTTGGGTTGGTGCCTTGCAAGGACCAAGTACTATTCGCTCACATGGTTCCGAGGCTGAGGGTTAGTCTACTATTCTTAGGTTAGATTCATCACTGCCAATACGTTGATATACGCCCTTCCTAAAGTTGGATATCCTTGCGAAGATTGGGTGTGTGTGTGTGTGAGCCATAATATTCTCGATGTGTTTATTTATGCGATGTCATACATCATACCTGAAATACAAGTTGTGGTTTGATATACATTGTGGGCTATTCTTTATTGTGCAATTGGCTGGTTATGATTTATTGTGGAAAGGAGTTTATAGTGGAATTGGTTTGTTGTGAAATTGGTTATTGTGAAAATGGTAACTTGTTGAGAATTGATTTTACTTTTTCATTTAATTATTTCTATTGTGTAAACTTGAAATCCATTGAAATGTCTCTATTTTCCTTCAAAAGTTATATACAATATTTGTAAAATGAGACTGACCATTTTATATGCTTTTGAAATCTTGTTCGAGTTTGGGAGGATTTTCCTACATAACTTAGTGCTCACCTCCTACAAACAATATCTTTTTCAGATTATGGTTTAGAAGAGGAGTTCGGAGTTGATGAGTCAATACATTGGGAAGCTTCAATAGATGAGAATGTGGATCCCGAGATGAACGTTTAAAACTATATTCTCTTATGTTCTAGATTAGGAAATTTATTTTGAGACAATGTGAAGTCTAATATTTTTTTTATTCCGCTGTAAGATAATAGTTGATTTTTTTTTTTAAGATGTAATTGTCATGGTTGAACATATTCTCTTGGATGATATTGTATATATTGTGAATGATGGATGAAATTCTCTTTAGTTATGAAGTTCATCTAGTTGCTCTTATCATGTGAATGATTTTAGATAGTAATGCTGTCCATGGGGGATTTTGGGGCGTTACATCCAAAGATATTATTTGATAAAAAAAAATATTATTAAAACTTAAAAATTTGATCTAACTTAATAGGAAGTCGTCGCACCTAGGGAGCTTGAACAAACAGTTGATTCCATTTCTCAATAATAGAGAGTCGTCATGGACCTTTAAAAGAACCTTCTAGAAAAAAAAAGTTGATCTAATTTATTGAATTAATCATGTAGTTTTATTGTCACTATTAGATTAATATCAAATTATAATATTTGATAGGTTTCATAATCAATTCAAGGGTTATAATGAATTAAGCCAATAAGATAGGTCAATAAATTATGTCTCAATAATATCACTAAAAACCATTCCATCAAAATAACACTTTAAATACTTTTATTTATATGTATAATTGATAAACAGTTATCTATTGCATAACTAATCTAAAAAATAAATTATTTCATAGAATAAATATTTTTAAGTTTTCAAAACATTACGATCCTCCTATGGTTACAGAATTTTCAGAGGTAACAGTGACAACTAAATAACACAGCGGAAAGAATGATATCATTAGCCTTTGTATCTTGTCTTATATTTCATTGGAACAATCTACATTAAAAAAAAATAAACAAAACAAGGACCAATCTGGGATTGCAGAGCCAGATGAAGTCAACGTGATTTTCAGGTCAACATAACTCAAATAAAATACAAATAATCAGTGCTTTTCTGTATATATTTTAAGTTATTCCACTATAAACTTTGATTATTTTTTCAAAAAAGTAAACTTTATTA